CTCAAGTGTTAGGTGAGAAACTTTGATGAATATGATACATTAAAAATTTGATTAATCATTCAAAGTTTTTCAATATGAAGATGAAAAAGAAATAAATACAATATAAGTTCAAAGATTTGCTCAAATATTTTTCTATTTATTGCACTTCAAAAGACCTCTTATTGATTGCAAAAGTGAATCTATTTATAGAAAACAGCTTACAAAACTTTATGTAAGTTTGGATGGGAGATCGATCGATCTATGAAAGTTCGGATAATCCAAAAATATCCTAGAAGGGCGGTTGTGGTGGGAATGGCCAAGCCATTGGCTCGATTTGGAGGAGAATGTAGTAATGGGGATAATAAGCTTTGGTTGATTGGAACTTGTGATACTTGCAAATCCCTACAATGGAAAATTATTGGGATTTGCTCGTATCACAAGTTCCAATCAACCAAACCTTATGATAACCATTACTACCATCTCCTCCAGTTTAATTAAAGTTAAAAATTTGAACTAAAGATGTATTTTTCCTATTTAGATTTCATTAAAGCAAAAATTTTTATAGTTTTTATAAAATTATTTAGATTTGAATTTTAACTACTCATTAGGTTTTACTGCAAAGAAAAGAAGAAGAAACGTATGGAAAATTGAATTTTGATGTGAGATAATTTTGGGATCTAGTTTTCAAATATCTAGTGCATCTTGGTGCGATGCATCAGTAAAAAGAGAAATTTGGGAAAACCTAATTCACTATTGATTCTTAAGGCATTATTGAGAACCAAGTTGTAACCAACCGATTCTTGATGCATGATCCCAAAACTAACCCATTTGTAATTCCTGTAATCTTCAAGATTTGTTGTTCCTCCAGACTCACGATCTGCTACCGTAGATACTATCTAGCCAACCTACTAAATCTCCCGATCTACCTCCTGTAGCTTCCAAGATCCGCTGTAAATTTCAGACTCCTAATCGTCTTCAATTGTCTCTTCCAAGTGGATATCCAGGTGCGCTTGTAGTCCAACCTCTCTCAACCTCTAGAAACTTCGGAAATCTAACTGAGAAAGTACTTTCTTATTATCAATAAGAAGTAGGTGGTGTTTCGGTTTAA